GAAAATTCAACTGTTGAGCCGTCAATTTTGAAAGCTCTGTATACACAAGAGTTCCCATATGAAATTGACTTCTACGTGATCTACGCTTTCCCATTTTTCTTGCCTTAGTTGGAAAGTTAGCGACTTTCAAGAGGAATGTTTTGGCACCTTTCTATTATCTATGACAACACGTCAGGTGGAAAAACGGCATTTGCAAACAAGAGGGAGCAGAATATAGAAAGATGTTATTTTTGGTGTCATTGGGAGGTACTGGCAAAAGAATCAATGTGTTCAGACAAAGACAAAGCTATCTTAATTTTCAACATAAGAAAAGGTGCAACAATGATTAGCTTCAGTCTTTGTTGCCAGACATGGTTCTAGTTTCATAAAATAAGATGGTGAATGATACAATTGTATAGCAAGAGGAACCAGAAAGGAGAGATGAACATGTGTGGAAGGCACCTAAATTCACAGAGGTTAAAAGAATACTTCCACTCATTTCCATGTTTTTTGAATGAGGCCCTACATAATCATTTATGTTCCAGAACAAGCATGTGTCCTGATAAGGCATCTTCTATAATGGCTGTTACGTGGCTGTCATAATAATCTATGGGAAACATACCTTTGCTGACTCACACCAGCAACCAATTCTGGGCCACTTCTATCTGATGCAAAGTCTTACTACCAGGTTTTCTTCAGTGACTGCTGTTATGGAACACTGCTTGTACTGGTTTAGGGAAACATTGTTTTGACAGTGAAGTCTCCTCTAGCAGCGTCATTTCTGTACTCGCCTGTTTTTCTTGCAATGGTGTACACTATCTCTGTTTCCTTCTCCTGTGACACACCATTCCGTACTTTAATTTTTAAGGCAGTTTTTTCTCCATCTCTCTTTCTCACGTGATGTCAGTCTGTTAAAATGACTGCAATGTGTTGATCCTCATACTTGCATGGAGATCTGTTAAAATCAATAGATCACATGAATCAGCTCACAGAATCAGGGCACACGTTATACTTAATATGAAATATTTCCCACAGAAAGTAAGTGACAAGCAAATACATGCTAAGCAATGGGACTTCCTTATTTTCTAAGTCTAAATGGGTAGTGACAAGTATATACAACGGCATCATATGGATTATGATGTAATGTTAATACATATTAATGTATTAACGTCTTCTTCCATGTATCTTAGTTGGAATCCATTTTTTCATGTATCCTTGGTCAAAGTTTCATTTTTCCCCTTCCCAAAATAAGGCAAAACTATACTGGCCATACTTAATAGAACAGAACAGAATCATAAACTTGTACAAAGATGGTTTTCAGAACAGCTGCCATTAAAATGTATTTTCAACCCTAGAAAAGTTCTATTCCGTGGCATATGCTGTACACCAACAAATAAACACTACTTTGTTTTCTATATATTATTGTTTGTTTTATTATACTGTGGTATTTCAGATTCTATTTCAAATGCTTCCTCTTGATGCTAAGTAATTGCATGTTATAAGATCCAAAGAAGGGTTTGGAGGAAGACATTAATTTAACATCAGAATCAAACAATCACAACTACTTGTTTGCTTTCAAAGACACCATGGCACAGGGCGAAGTATATTGGGCTTTTCCCAAGTCTACTTCTTCTCGTCACAAAATAATGTAAATCAATTACTCAAAACAAATGGCGCCTTCCTATTTTCCTTTCACGTTCATCTATTCTCTAATTTTTAGACGCTATATGTATGCTAAGGACATCCTCATCTTGTTTTGCAACTCCTATTTGACTTCATATCTTGGATAATTTTTCTGACAAGCTTCCTGGGGTATTTTAGCTCTCTCTCAGACCTAATAGGTGAGTATACAGCCACCACGGTACCAAGCCCTAGGAAACCCATTATCCTGCCTATCACCCAGCCAGAACAGTGGCGTCATAAGTGACTCTCCTCTTCCTACTGTAGCTACTCACCACTTCCTGTCAACTCTTCCTTTATGAACTCACTAAAACACTTTCTTTCACTTTCACCCTCACTGACTTTTTCCATGTTCTGGTCATCCTCCCTTTTTTGGTTAGAGACAGACATCTTGCTACCTTGCTCCCTGCTTTCACTTCCAGTTGCTGCTGCTGCTAAAATATTCCCTTTTGCCTCCCATTTTTTCACACAGCCAAGGCTTTGCACAGCTTTCTCCTTGCATCCACCTTTGGTTCCTTGTCCTTCTCTCCTTCCTCTCACCCATGCCTCGTTATCACCCTTTTCGCATTTAATTTCCATACCTTAGTATGGGAATTCTCCCAATTTCTCCATTTACCAAATTATTCTCACCCACCGTTCAGCTTCCTCTTCAAGAGACAATGCAGCCCTTTACAGCGACTTTTCATAGAGCTTGCTGCCGAAATGCACTGTTCGACTGTACGCTCCTTGGGGGAACTGTATTATTGACTGTACAGTATCTACAGTATTTGCATAGCACTGGACAGACTGACTAAACAATCAATAACAAATCGATGGCACAGCTATGACAACAGTATTTTAGCTTTCCGAAATATAATAGTTTCGGTTTTAAGTTTATTCAGTCTGAGAGATAATTCCTGTAATTAAAGTAGTGGAAACCAGAGCATCCACCAAACCAAAAGAAGCATTCAAATGTGACTTATCACACTTGTAATGACTCCCTTGCTTGCATTGCTCTCTTGGGATGCGAAATAGGAGAAGGCGGCGAAACAATGAGAGTAATGAATAATCACATATTTAGTAAAAATGTTCCGTTTAGAGTTTAAACAAAAATCTGGATTTTGCAGCAATTTCATTTCAGAGTAAAGATATTTCCATTTAAAGGCAATTAAAATTGGAAAATATGTATTTCCAGAAAATCTGTCATCAGAAACTTTAAAAAAAAAGTGGTAATAAGTTTAAATGTTTCTATTTTTTCCAAAAGACTCAGAGGTATACTGCATGACTTGACAAGTTACAATAGCGACCTGCTGGGCAAACGAAGGTCACTTGGATTTTTTTAAAACTTAAAATCTTGTTTTCTACTAAATGGCAGGGAAGTACACTGAAACCACAATCAACTTTTCCTGGGTTTGACAATCGCAGAAGTCCTCTTTCTGCTCCTCACTATTGACTCACACACCGCTGCATCCCAAGGGACTGTGTACTCTAAAACAAGGAATGAGTAATCAGGAAAAAGATGTTTCCCCTCTTCAAAGTATTCACTAAAGCATTCATCCTTTCAAAACTTCCAAACTAATATTTGTTTGGGTTGTAAATCTTACGGCAACAATATCGACAGTGTTAATGTGATCTAAACACTGTACAATGTAAATGAAATTTTCTAAAGTATAGACCAGGTCATGGAGATTTCTTCCAATATGGTGCAGGGTGGGTTGTCCTAGTTTAAGCTGTCTGAGAGCAGAGTAACAGCAAAGCCCAGAAAGAACAGTCTGATTATTAGACCTGTCTCAAAAGAAAAGACGTATATTCTTCTACAGCTTGGGAAGGGACTTTTTTTTAATTAATTCGTTCAAGACACCTTTGGAGAGAGTTGATGCTATGTAGAAAGCCAACAGTTTCAGACGAATATTTTAGAATGCATCTGAAAAATGACTCACTGGATTTGGCTGCCATTTTGTTTACTGCTGTGGAAAGCAGCAAATGGTAGGTGTAATAAAGCAGACTTTGAAGAGAAATGTATTAAATGTCTACTTATCAATGGAATATTCTGCTCAATGAGCACTCCAAAGAGCTGATTCGCTACTGTAAACAATAAAAGTCACTTTACAATAAGACAAAATAATTGATTTATCAAGCAGAAACCATGGGGTGTGATTAAGTAGTCATGCATTTCTTGGGAATTAAGAAATTTTTGCTGCACTAATTACTAAAATTGCTAAAGGCATGGGTAGTTTACAGTATTTTTTAATTCTTTCAACATTTTACTCTTCAAATATCAACAATCCCAACAATCCGAGTATCACTGGCAAATTGGAAAGCAGAGAACAACCCTCCAGTTACTTCAGTTTAGATAAAAAAACAGTTACGTTTTACATCAGCAGAGTGGCTTGTCCTTAGGAATTCAACATTATCACACCACCCAGCAGACCACACAAACCATAAACATCTTTGAGCTCCAAACTGCCATAAGATAGTTTTTATTGAACTGTAAGTCAATAGTAAACTGGTTAGCTGGCAAGTTCATAATCACCAGAGGTAATATTCACAGTTCAGGAGATGGGGGTCAATCAAGAGCTGGATGTGCATGTGTTATTTCCTACTTTCATGATAAAAAGTGACAACGTTCAAAATACCCAATATCAATATTTCAAACAGGAATCCTCTCAGTCAGAAGAGTCTTCAGCTTCACTCCGCTTGGACCGCGCCAGGATTTTTGGTCATAAATGAAATTCCAGAAATAATTCAGCGCTCGATACCACTGACATTTATTAACCATGCCCAGACTTACAGTATTATACTCAACAACCGGCTCCAATCTGCCACTTGGATAATAGTCTGGGCAGTGCCAAGTCCCGCATTAACGTGGAGTGCAGCGTTGTTACACAAAGGACTGAAATCAAAAGATGAGAGATGCCAACACAATGAAGACGAACGAAAGCCATGACCACAGCAAAGCCAGACCGCGCAGCACTCAGCATCGCTCCCAGACTCCGGGGGAATGACTACCAGAGGTCAGCTATGAGGACATGGGGTCTAAAAGCCGGTAACAACTACAGCAGGCTGGCTACAAAGCCAAGGTGTGAAGAACTGGTCGGAGCAAACCCTAATGGCGCTCTTTCGTATCAAGAAAGATAATATACAGAGGACGCTCAACACTCTACCTGAAGAAACAAATCTTTCACAGCGTGAAGCTGCAGGAACATGACTTGATATTCAAGCAGCCTCCACAGAAGCACAGTCCTTTGCATCACATTGGCCGCGGCGTCGCACTAAGGGCCCTTTGTCGCACGCCAGCGCCTGTCTCCTCAAGGCTCCATCATGCCTGGTGGAAAGCGGGGCTTCCTCTCACAATGAGCTAGTTTGTCTTCACTCATGGCCACGTTGGTGTGAGAAAACCTCCTCAACCTTGGAATCACCAAGCAGGAGGCGTTCGGCAGCAACGGCGGATAAAGGCAGGCAGGAGGGCGAGCTGCTGTCTGGCTTGCTTGGTGCCATCTTCACGGGGATCCCTCACTCAGGTAAGCCACTGCGCTGGGCCGGAAGGACGCCAGCTCTCATGGGGCGGCCCTTTTCCTCACACGAAAGGCCCAGAAGTCTCTAACGTGGCAACTGCCGACAGCTTCGTGCTGCCCCACGTCCCACAGCCGCTTCAAAATGCCGTCTGCCCGGTGCCTCCGTGTGAAGACCAGGTGGCGGGAGGTCGACAGCTTCCATTTCCTGGAGAGGGCTGGCTAATTTGCAAAATGGCTGCAAGGGAGCGGGAGAGGCCTTTCCTTGCCTGGCGGAGGGTGGGTGCCGGTGGAGGCGAGAGGTGGCCCCGAAACCTGCCACCCTCCCCAGGCTGCCCCTCCTCGGGGGGCTCGCGGAAGGGATCCCACCACCTCCATTTCCTCGGCGATGGCCATGGGGTGGGTGGG